GGGGGGGGGCAAAAACGTACAGAACTTCCGACGTTTTACTAATTAAGTCGTATTTACTCAGACCACGAGAGGAGCCCGCTCCGTTACTGTAGGCCGCTTTCTTTCAGCCGTTTTCAACAGCGTTTCTACCAGCTCTATGCAACACCCCACATTCAGCATGTTTTGAACATAGTGTTGATACTTTGTTCCTGGTGCCAGAAACCGAAAGGAAGAATGAAAAACGTTTGAGAGAAGTCATCTGTGTTTGAGGCAGCAGGGTTGCTTTTTAGCCTTCAGTTTAGGGTTAGCACGTTAAAAAAAAAAATCTATTTTCACAACACAAAAAAATGCCAGAGATGAACATGGATTTTTTTTTTTTTTTTTTTTTTTTTTTAGTACCTGGCACCCTCATCATCACACCCAAGGGCTAAGCAGATTAGGAATCCTTCCCCTCCCCCCAAGATACCTTGCCAGCCGTTTAGGAAACACAGTAAACAAGATCCCCTCTGTGTTGTATAGGAACATGAATCCTCCTAGCAAGATCAACTACGGGAAGCAGATTCTCCATCGTGCTCTCATTCCCACAACAGGATAGTAAAACACTGATTTTAAGCAACAGCAAACTATATCACATCACCATTAGAAGTTCAAACGCATTTCTTCTCTTCAGGGATAGTTTTAGGCATAAGTAGGGGGAAGGTGAACACTGTACTTACAGAGACAGAGGGATTGGCTGCTTCCTGAAGCACCTGCAGTTTAGTACAGTCTTCACAAGAGCTGTCCCTGAAAAAAACCTATCCTCTAAAACCATCATGAGCAGGTATTTGGACACCATGAGCCGTAATGTATTGCTGGCACTCTCCGAGGATCGTTTTTTGAGAATAACCTGAGAACTTGTTATCCAGAATAGTTATTCATCTGGCATAGCCTCTAAATAATTTTTAGACACTGCCAGTCCTAAACAGAGAACTGTTATTTTCGACCCTTTGAGTTTTTATGACCAGCATTTCTCCTTTCCAGAAAGCTACTGTGAGGACGGAAAGGGATTCAGGTAAGAACACCGCTTTTTCTGTGCGACTGATCTCACATCCCAGCAGCGACACTGCAGCCACAGAAGCTTAGCCTTATTCTACAAGAACTTCATTTTAACTCTCATCCAGAGTCACTGTGGGAGTCTGATTCCTCCTGTTCTGCCTTAACCAGCTAGCAGATAGCGTTCCATTCTCCCTGAAACATACTGGATACCCTTTCATCTTTTCCACAGATTAGTAATTCCACAAAGCCTGTTTAATTCACCTACATCCAGTCTCCTGTGACCTGAGCCTTCCCCAGCAGTAAGTCAATGACAGTCTCCTACGGTCCAAAGATTGCTCCCTGCAACTTGTTTTGTGTGTCACCAGTTGTCGTTCCTAAACTTTTGTTTACCATCACAAATCTGTGCTCAGACCCAGCACCTACTTCCACAAGGCCCTTCAGTGATGAAAGTGCATCTCTAGTTCCAGTGCTCCACTACTCCATCAAAAATATTTGCTAGTAAAAGAGGCTGCTTATGGACACTAGCCATTTTGGCTCATATGCTGGAGCACACATCTTGCCTAACTTTAAATCAGTATTGACAGTCTGAGCATTGCTGCTAGGGCAGACTAGAATTTACCAGTCAGTCTCAAAGACGTGCACTGCAACATCGCAATAAATGAAAGCAGGGCGGTAATAAATGAAAGCAGGTAAAACACTGGGTCACACCGGCTAAGAAAAGTTGTTCTGTCTCTATCCTTGGAGACAGTAAAAACTTGACTGCTCTAGTTGACCCCGCTTTGAGCGGTTAGACTAGATGACCTCCAGAGGTCTCCTTCCAACCTCAACTGTACTATGATTCTATATGGCAGATACGCCAACAGCCAGCTAAACTCAATGAAAGAACGAACACCACAACTGAAAAAAACAAGCCCTCCTCAAACATTCCCTACTCTTCTTCCTAAAAGACTGAAGATTTTTAGACTGTCTGTCTAGTCTTAGCACTATTTCTTGAGTTCTTAGAAACATTACCGGCCCCCTTAAATGTATGATCTTTAATGGATAAGCAATACTAGTTATCTACTCTGAATAAAACTCAACTGTAACTCCTATCATATTACAGATAAGCTAGTCTAGTGTTGGTATAGTTTACATTTAGTTTTAGAATCACATATAAACCGAGCTGGAATGACACCTGTTAAATGGGAACACCCTTTAGTCATCCTTTATAGGGAATGAAAATGCTCAAACTGGCAACACTCTTTGGGTTCTCAAGTCTCTGTTCAGCCTTGTTGAGAAACACCATTCACCTTCCATCCTTTAACCACTCTTAATCCTTAATTTCAAAACTCTCCTCTGACCTTTCTTCTACTCTGAATATTCAGAGTGAGGTTGGTGAGTATCTGCATTAAACTAACATAAGACTGTTTCAGAGTCCCAGCTTCCACATTCAGGAATTACTGCAGGCAGTAGTTACAAATGATGATACGATTTACCCATCATTACCTACCACATTTTTCAAAGCCAGTGCTTTCTAGAATACAGATCCACACAGATGCCACCTTCCCAGTACAATGTTTAATCACACTTTTTAACTCTGCTTCAACTAGACATTTGATCAAGGGTGACTGGCTATTTTCCTTCATGTCAAAGTTCTAAAAATTAAAAAAAAAAAAAAAATAGATAGGAGAGCACCAAAATCTAATCACTGTACTACCTTACCCCTACATGAAGTTTTGCATAGGAGGAAAAAAAAAAAAAAACCCACACTCATAGATTAAGTAGCAGCTAGCCAGTTTCCTAGGTCTATCACAATTCCTGTGGCTATAAATGCACAAGAGGGCACAAACTTTACCTCAGTAAGGAGGCTAGAGGAAAGTAAGAAAGTAAGGACAGAGAACTAGTAAGAAATCAACCTTCAGCTCTCCTATTAATTAAAATAAAAAATTAAATGACTTCTAGCTCTAGTCATACTAGCCAATGCTATTTAAATGGCTTACAAAAAAGTTGATAAGTTATCTTTGTCACCACTAATTGGATGTACAGAAAAATAAAACTATTAGTAATTACTCTGTAATTCAAGCGCACAGTAGCCATTCAATTAATCTCATCACTGATGGAAAAATTAAGTCAAACACTAGACATCCAGATCTGGAGAAGCTGATCATCTCCTAGTCCTGTTTCTTATAAGACAGACAATGGGACAATAGGGAAGGAGAACTAAACAAGGCTAATGAGAACCAGCATACAGAAAAAATTGAGTTATTGGAAACAGGAAGCAAGACACAGAGAGAGAGCAGTAAAAAAGGTTTGTTCAAGTTTTCATGTGACCTGGCTTTTTAGTTCGTTCATGTTAATTTGCAGAAGAAGCAGTTAGCATGAAAAAATATGCAGATGCTGTAACTAATGAAACTGCAAACCACATGTGAATGTTACAAACCTACTTCTGAAGATATTGCTGCTACTGCCACAATGTAAAAGCACATTAATAGTTATTGTGTCATTGATCTCCCCGCCGCTCACACCTACAATCCCCCCCCCCGACACACTATGTTGCACCATTAGTAGATACCTCTGTACAAAAAATTCATTTATTTCACTAAGAGGGAAATGCAGAACACTTAAGTCAGGATAACAATTTAATATTATCGCATCAGAAGTCTCTCATATGGTGAATCCAAAAGTCTATATGAGATAGCTAAAAAACATTGACAGCAGTGCTTCAGTAAGATGGAGAAAAAGCAAACGCTGTATACCATTAACTAAATATTGACTTGATTGTAAAACAAACACTACAGAAAGAAAATGTGTGTGTTTTTTCTTCCTAAGTTGGTATATCTTTGAAGTTTCAGGCCAGGAAGAAGTACAGTTCAAAGCTCAACTCTGAAACAATTAAAACAGGTCAAACTGTCGTGATGTTAATCCATTTCCTCCGACCGCAATAGTCTCTAGTCCCAATAATATGTCATGATTTTTGTTTACCAGCTCCTTCTCTTGCTAGTCTATCAGCTTCTTCATTTCCTCGGAAGCCAGCATGACCAGGAATATGCATCTGTTGAAATACGAGTATAGGAGTGTTACACATACACGAAATCAAGACAAACAGGAAAAAAAAAAATACATTTCTATTCATCGTATAGTAGCACCTCCTTAGAGCAGTAATCTCCTCAGATTCAGTCCTGAGGTGTCCTTCCCAGTAACGCTCATAGCCTTCCCAGAACTAACAAAATCGTCTTGCCAAATTGTGAGGAACTTTTCTGAGAAGTGGTGAACTGTGCGAGCATCCACCTAACCTAGCCTTTAAGAAACGCAGAGGACAGCGGTGAGACTTAGACCTTCCAACTTAAAAGTAGAGTCCCACTTTCAGGGGGGTGAGGAAAAAACCCTCTGCATTCAGTTCTTAAACCAAGTTAGTCTTCTCCCACAAAGTCAGACACCTCTGTGCCACTAAGGCCAAAGGACACAGCCATTGGACACATCCAGTCATAATGGACACAGCACTCAGGATGCAGAAAGGGGGGTGTATCAATTTTCAGACAATGTCTCAACTATCCATTTTTCAACAATTAGGAACTTTAAAAAATCCTTACAATTCTAAACCTATCCTTGTCAGGATCAATCAAATCTTGCCCTTTGACACGATCTAAGGGAAGAGGAGCATGAAGTGCTTGTGAGATCAGTGACCTGACATGGAGATATCCTTTAATGTGTTTGACTGCAAGAAGGAAGCAAGTACAGCAGCATAATACTGGAGAGGTTTTTCTTTTTCTTTTTTTTTATTTTCCTCCTCTCTCCAGATAAATGAAACCAGTTAAAAGCCAATAGCCAAAAAGTATCTTTCTGCATTTCAAGAGATTCAGATGTTACGAGTGTTCCATTTTTCTTTTATATGAAATACACTAGGGCACCTGAAATTTGGGCTTAGATTTAGATTTTTACAGTTTCTTCCACTCAATAGATAATAGGAGTAACTGCATACAATCAAGCCAGCCTTTAAGATATGTTGCATATGGTGGCCAACTCCAGAACACAGAACAAAAATATTTGCAAGAGATTTTTCCATAGGAAAAGTATAAGCTAAAAAATATCTGTCCCATCCTGTTTTCCACAGACTAATGACAGAAGCCAAATAAACATACCATTAATAATGATTAAGTCAATGGTACAGAGATTTGCTTCTAGATTCAATACTTTTACCTTGGCTAGATTAAAATTTAGAGGGAGGAGACATCCCCCTATAACATTTAGCACTGAAATTAGAGGCACCAAACAACAACAAAAAAAAAAAAAAGAGTGTTTCATCAGGAAAATCAGTATAGAAGACTTTAATTTATTGAAGAGCTATACAATTGCAAACTAAAATTGTATATTTTTAATACCTTTTATATCCAGTTTTATCGGAAAAAACCTGCACCATTACAGTACAGGAAACTGGAATTAGTTTATTTGGGGTTATACTCTCCAGTTTTCCCCAGTTTGAAGAATTCATTTGATCAAGTTGTACTAAAGAACTAGCATGTAAAGAATTCCGATAAACAAATCCAGAATTTGAGCTACAACTCAAAAGATAACAAATATGTTTTAAACTGATTTCTAGGAATAGAAGTTTCTCCTGTTGTTAACAGTTCAAACAGATTAACAATAATTACTACAGGCATTTTCAAAGAAGTAACGAAAGACTGCAAGCGAATATAAATAAGTGCTTAAGTAACAAAATAGTAGTTCCAAGAGATTTGCTTAAATTTAAGTAATAATCTTACTTGCTTTGAATAAAATAAGCAACTTCTTCACATTTAAGGATATGCAACAGTAGTATTCTCCATAAAATTCTAAAATCTTAGAAGTATGACCAAAAACAAAGAGGAGTGTTTAAGGTGTCATTAAGAATAATACATGAGGTGCTTACCCACTGAATCTCTATGCCTTTTGATAGATTATCAAGTCTTTCAAAATCTTCTTTATTTATTACACTTCCTCCTGAACTTGTTCTCCAGCCATTTGTTTTCCAGTTGTCAACCCAACTTGTAATACCTATGCAAAGGGAATACTACCATAATACTGTGGAAGAATCCAGCAAAAACAAAGACAGAGTGAACAGCCTTGCAGAAACAATCTTCCTGTATGAAGACAGTAAGTGTGTACCAAATGTCAGGTAAAGATATAAGAGGCAGAAGATTTTCTTGTCTGGTTCTCTAATACAGTCCTGAAAGACAGTAGTTTTCCATCATTATTTGAACTACCTGGCAATATTTCCCTGAACAGACATTTAAAGACTACAAGTTTGGGTACATATTGCACATGAAATTACTACATGAACTGAAATTAAGGATCTGCCTGATGTAACGTAAAACAGATCCGAGTACCTCTACTTTTTTGAGAGACCAAAAAGACAGCACACATACAGTAAGAATAGATGGCCTCCTCTCCTACGGCTTCTGCATGCTTAAACAGAACACTTCAGAAAAGGGTTACGTAAGCCTATTCCTACAGAGCAAGATTTTTAACATGGAAGAGGCAGACAGACATCTACTGTTGGTTTAAAAAAAAAAAATTATTTCAAGACTCCTCAAACAGGGAGATTTTTTAAATATACCTTTGCTGGTCTGGACAGCATAAGACACCCTTACTGCTTCCACAGCAAATAAACTGTTTATTCACCAACCTTGTATACAACACCGCCCAAAAACCAAAGCACAACCACCTGTACTCAACAGCAAGCTTCTTTCTGTTATTTTGTAAAAGTAATTAGGAATTGCTTTTAAAATATAACTTTGATTAAACTGGAGTGGAACCTGTGACCCAAAAGTGACCCAAAAGGCAAGAGAGAACTGCCAGCAAAAAATAAAGAGAATAAAAGAGAACTGCCAGCAAAAAATAAAGAGAATAAAAGACTGCACCCAAAGATTCATATCTTCCTCCCTCAAACCAAAGTTTAACTGCAATTTTATCCAACACAGCAAGTTTTCCTCCTTTGTAACACCAGTTTCACAGAACAATAGATGCTATAGACTTTTCTCCCACAAAGCAAATAACTGCAAAGATGCTTCTTTCCTCCATACTGCTTTGGACCACTTGCATTTTGGCACAAATCAGCCCATTTGATTCCACTGTTCAGCACACAACACCCAGCTCTGAACACATGAACTCCACGTGAGCAGAGGCTCTTCTATTTACTCCTCCCTTTTTCAGAATGTTTCCAGCAGAGACTAAAACATACATCCTGCTCCTATAGGAAATGCTATACTCAAATCTTTGGGGGAAAATAAGCTACCCATCCGAAAATTTTAGGACACAGCCCTTGAAATTGTTTCTTAACATTTACTGTCCCTTCCTCTACTGTGCACTATCCTCCTGCTTCTAGTTTATAAATCCCTTGATACATTCCATTTAGCAACCTTATTAAGACGCCTCTTCCATACACACATAAGCTAGCAGAATTTGAAACATGCAACAAATGACAGCTCCAGTAAGTCTTTCTTTGACCAGAAATCACTTTCCTCCAGTTAGCAGCTTTCTATCCTTTCCAGGGTATCACTAGTTAAGGCGACACCAGATTGTTTCAAGATATATTTTGCTTTCTTGCTAAGCGTAAGCCACCTGAACAAAGGAAAAAGCTATGCTCTTCCTTCCTACTCCTCCTTTTTCACAAATCAGGGAGCTTCCAGGCAGCAGAATGACTTTTTGTTTGGAGAAAAAGGAAAGGTATACAGATTTTTAACATAAAGTCATTCAGTTACTTTGTCAGCAACAAGTAATAAAACACGTAATTACCTCCAATGTTAGCACTTTTAAGGGTGGGAACTTAATCTCAAGATGCTCACCTTTCCCCAACTGAAGTGTGAAAAAGCAAATTTTAGTTTTAGATCAAGAGTTCCACTGAGTCTTTTAATATTAGTCTCATAAATGCTCCAAAGTGACCTGAAAACAACTAACATAGGTACACCCCTTGTCAAAGTGTGAAATACAGAGAGAGATACTTATACAGTTTGGAAGCATCACAGAAATGAAATCTGAGGCTGTATGGGAAAGGAGAAGCAGTTTTTTCAGACATTAAGTCTTACTGCCTGTATCAATTTTATTTCCTAGCAATCCTCCGTAAGTTTTTCATGCCTCTGGATGAAGGTGAAACCTTAAACACACACTCTGACTGCATACTATCTCTGCATAGTCTTCTATCAGCCTGGAAGTTTGCAAGTGCATTCTAGATGTAAAAAAGCAAAAAAACAACTTTAGTATACTTCAGGTTTGCATATTAAGATATCCTCTCTAAAACGAGAAAAAAAGATAGGGTCACTAGGGTAACTTCCGAGTACTCTCCCGGTCACCTTTAGCAAAGCATACAAGAACAACATTTTTGTAGGCTCCATCTCTCATACTGAAAGTCTCATTTACTTACAAAAAGTGCTTTAGTTGCTTCTGCCATTGTTCACTATAACAAGCACTTTATCTCTGCTTGTATTTCATTCAGGGAAGTAACCCCTGCAATATTGTGGAAGTTTTTCCCAAGCAGTCATGAGTACTGAAATAAGTTTTGCATTCTCTTCCTTATAGTCCTCACTCCATTTCCCAGTACATTCTATGCTCCTTATATATCAAGTTGTGCGCACTGCGTCTTTAAAAAAAAAAAAAGGAAAATAAAATCATTAACTTACCATTAATAGTGAACTTGCTATCAGTGTAGATAATTAGTTTCTTGATGTTTTGACTCTTTGCTTGCTCTATTGCTTTGCAGGCTGCCTTAAGAATATTTCAATACAATCACGGTTCAGAACAGGTTTTGAACAGATACCATTAAAATACCAACAAAATACCTGATGTTAATACACAAGAACAACAGAGAATATTATTGTAGTCTCTCCATCAGTGAGTACCAGCATGCTTTAGAGCAGAGGTTCCCAAAATAAGCGGTCATCTGTGCGCGTAAGACAAACAAGGAGCCACTTAAGTTTCATCAGCAAAGAAAAAAGTCCCGTCCTTCGATTCTGGACCACAGGAGCAGCTCTCTGCCCAGATGTTTAACTATCCAAGGGTCTATCAACTGTACAGAGTTTTAGCCATCTTCTCCATAACTCTGGGGAACAAGGATTCATCCCAGTTCCAAAAGTCTGGCCACACCTAAAAAGTTTTGCTCTTTTCTTGCCAAGAAGCATATTAAGAAAAGCTGGAAAAAGCTAGGTCTACATGGAGGGCTGAAATGCTCTTCAGTGATTTAAGTTTGGCCCCTGATACACCACCATCACCTTTGGGTGTCCCTCACCAATTGGAGCTTCCTGGGTTTTGTTTGTTGTTTTTTTTTTTTTTTAAAAGCAGACCAGTTTCCCATTCCATTTTACCTCAAATACACAGTACAGGGTAGCAGCAGTACAGGGTAGCAGCAGTACTAGCACTATAATGATAAAGGTGAGATTAAATCTGCTGCTGCCAGCAGCAAAAGGTGAAATTACTCCTGAGAGCCCACAGTAGTTTGTCATCCTTAGCTAAAAAAGGCGACACGCTGATCCTATCACAAAAGGCAAGGAAATGTCCTCTTAATCGCCAAAAGAGAGCCCTCATCCTGAAGTATGAGGCATATACCTTATAAACACAAAGAATACTATACAGATTTGAGAACCAGGCTTTCCTAATGCAAGGCAAATATTTATGACTGGCCTGATGACATTTAGAAATTTCCCAAGATGAGCTAACTCCTTTTTCAAATCCAGTAAGGATCAATAAAACCGGAAGAGATATATTTGTTTCAGGTCATAATTCCAATGTTCTACAGACTTCCCTCACAGCTCCATAACTGGTTTCTAAAGGCTAGAGTTGAAATAGCCATGAGTATACTGTTCTGTTCCACATGTAGAAGCTTTTTATGACATTTACTACTTACATGTATTTCAGCTCTTTGATTAGTCTGCCGTCCAGGAAGTCTTTCACTGGTATTTCTGTGATCATGGAACAAATAGTACATCAGTTATTCAAGGTATTCATATTAGTGTATAATCACTGCTCATTAGAAAAATAAAGATGAGAACTTTTTTTTTTTTAAAAAGGAAAACGGATGGAGATTCCAGTTGTAACTTACATCTAGATAGTGTGACAAACATATTTGGACCTACTGTCAAGAGGCAGTTACTTTTATTGTCTTCCATGTGTGCCTACAATAATTTAAAACTTTCTGCACCCCTCGGATTATAACTTCATCCCCTAAAAAAGTTATTTCCAATTGATTTTCCTCACATTCTTACTTGCTAGAGAAGCTGATCTTTGTTGTCCTCAGTAACTCACTACTGTCATAATAGTGAGAGGCGTCTCAACAGCAGGGTTTCCTACTCAAAAAGAGGCTAGCGTTGTAAGTCATACACAAAACAAACATTAGTATACTTCTCTTTTTTAAGTAAACAAGCTACTTACAAAGGGTGGCCTGGTCCCCAGTAGACGCCTATTCCAGCACGTGCCCTATTACGTCCATTACCCGAGCAGCAGCCATCTGTATAAACAACTGCAAAGTCACCTACAAAAGAATTATCCAAATCAGAATTTCAAGCAGTCCTTCAAAGATGCAGCCCCACCTTCAAGCGGGAAAAAAAAAAAGTCTGCCAGCAGATTAATCCCCAAAACATCCCTCTACAAAGAGCGCTTCAGAGTGTTATCCGAGAAGCCATATAAGTTAGGAAAGCATGACACAAGAAGCTTGACTGCAGCTTTGTACCCTCACTGCTCCCAAATCGCAGTCAAGCCTCAGAAAGCATCACTGCCTGGAGTTCCATGTTCTCACTGTAGTTCCCACCTTCTTCAGTCAAGACTAAGCTTATCAGCTACGCCTGCATTTAAATATCAGGTCTTTAATCAAGGTGTACATATAACCACATCTAAAACAACAAGATTAACCTATATGTTGATACAATTGAAGCCAACTGTTATACTGAAAAAAGGAGAGTGAACATGGCTCACGTTTCCATTTTAAGAAGAAATACTGTGACTGGTGCCTCTAGACTCACCAAATCTCTCTAAAAACCCTCTAATATTTACTCTTTTAATTACGAAAGAGCACGAAGAATTCGAGCTTTACCCATGTATGAAAATTTATCTTCACTGACTGTTGGTGCTGAGTATGTTTCATCATGTTTTACGCGTTTTGTATCATGTTCTTCAGCTGCAGACTGTTCATATGGTCTCTTGCATTTGTTGCAACACAAGATGTCTGTTTCTGGTTCCTCTCTGTGGTTATCATTTTCCTGTGTTATAACTGAAGGACCATGTGTCTCTTAAGAAGGAATTTAAAAAAAAAAAAAAGAGTTAAGTTATACATAAGAGCCAAACTTTATTCAGAATGACTGCTTTCAGTGACATTTTTCTCACCTATTAGTAACCCAAGTCTGCTAAGTTTAAAACTTCACCATCTCCTAAAAAAATACTACAAGGAAAACACATACATATACACAAGTAATTCTTAACTCCAGGTGAAACATAAGTGAAGACACATACATGACAGCCCTTCAACAAGAACAGACATGCTACAAGCAATAGCCTCCAGGTGCCTATAGAAGTGTTCTTATTGCCCAGACATATCCACCACTCTGTTAAGATCCTAGGGCCACCACTGCACTTTGACAGGTTCAGGAACGTTAAAGGTTTTGAGGAGACATTAAACAGAAGTCACCATCCGCTTTTAGCTGTAAGCTGCACTAAGTGCTCACAGGGGCACCAGAGAGAAGACAGTTGGGG